GAAAGCCAAACTCTATCAACATTATAGAGAAGTCCAATCTAATTAAAAAAACAAAACAAAGAAGGTCTGAATAAGTAACTCAGAAGGTTTCCCATGTCATGGGAAGCCAAATTCACTGGAGTTTGGGTTTGCCAAAGCACAAGCTATGTGATGATGGATCCTGCTCAAATTATGGCCGCTCACAGGACCAGTTTAAAAACACAAATGGCTCTGCCTTTGGACTGTCATGAAGATCAAGGACTTGGATTTGTTCCTCTCAGAAAGAAATACTTTTTTGTGCTCATTACCTTGCAGTCCATTAAGGATAGAAATAATCTCTAAAGATTTATTTGGAGCTAGTTCAGAAGTTTTGGCTTCAGCGATGTCAGGTTTGGATGCCATCTCAGGTGATATACCAACATGAAATGGTGGTTTCGATGAACGGCGTAATTTAAATGCTTTGGGGGAATATTTCTCATCTTTATCAGCTTTATTCTAGTTTAAAAGAAAGATATATTCTATTAACATACCCATATAATTTACCTTATATCAGAATTAACAGAATGTTGAGAATAGAACAAAATCAAATGGCAAGACATCATATAAAGTAAATCTAGTTGAGATGCTAAACATGTTTTTAGAATAAAGATACCTAAATTATATACTCGTAAATCTTCTATAGACCTTAATATTGTGCAGAACCATTTCACATCCTCTCTGATACATATCTACATCTTATAGAATTTTACGTATCCATTTTTCAAACTGGTAATTTAAGACACAACATTATTATTGTCTACAGCTTGAGTTCTATTCAATGACTTGGAAATCACTGAAAAGATTTGAACAGCCTGAGGGCAATATTTAGTGGCTGGGAAGAACTCAGGTTTACAGGGGCAAAATGATTGTGCAAATAGGCAGAGTAGGATTTTTGAATTTCTTCATTTTGAGGAACAATTTGGAGGGTTTTTAAAAAATGATTCAGGTCTATTCATAATGTTTATTTCTGTAGGTATGATAGATTATGATCACCATGTAGTCTCTTAAGTAAGTTTTAGCTCTTTGCATGGCTCTTTAACCGCCTTGTTTTGCATCTCTGACTTCTGCTATGTATGTGAAGCAAAATCTTCAGGCTACAAAGTTTGCTTATTAAAAGAAATAATGTAGTTCATCAAATGATTATCAATGTGACTAATTGTGTGTCCGAATAAACACGGTAACATAATTTGAAATACAATAATCAGATTTGTTATCAGTTTTGCCAACAAATCAGGAGAAGACACAAGTATGTTACTTCACAATGAGTGGCATAATGATAAGTAAATATGAAAATGAAGTCCCTGTGTAACTCTTCTTTCAGCTAGAACAGTTGCTATCAGTAGTAAATAATTATGACAGTCTTTCTTTCTATTTCTATGGGTAATATTCAGCATTAGCAGTCTAAAATAATCTACCTTTATTTTCTTCCGATGCTTTATTTTGGGTACATTTTTGTCTGCTGGTCTCACTATCTTGTCCGCTTTTATCCATTCATCATACCTAGAAAGAATTGAAATACATAAACTTATATTTTGGAGATACCGTAATTAAATGTAGGCTACAGAAAAACAAATATGCATTTTATAAAATCATATCTTCTCTAACAATTTGATATATTTTTATGTTCATTATGTAACAACAATTATTATTTTTCTGGAGATATTTAGAGGATGGCTTACTATTAAAATGGAGCACAGACATGAAGCATGTTATCATCATTAGCAGTATTAAAAATGTAGAGGTAAATCCAATATCAAGTTAGCAAACATTTGACCAGGCAAGAGGAAATTCCCTTTCTCAAACCATTATCTGTAATCTGCTTTAGAGATTCCAGTCAACCAGCATTCTGGGGCAGATGTGGAGAGAAAACACTGAGGAATGCAAGACGAAAGCAAAATCCAATTATCTACAATATCTGTTCCAGAATATGAACTCTAGTTATTATTTTGATTACAAAGAATTTTTTTTTGCTGCGCTTCCATATTCCTATAAGACCTATAATAGTTCTGATATAAAAATTAAGGAAATTTTTACTAGATTCTTTCTCCCATCAACAACATATATTTAGAATTTAATTCAAATTACACAATCCAAATAAGCATTGATATAATCAGAATTAACATACTGTCTTAGCCACCTCCCCCCTTCCCTCAGACTAAAAAAAACTAATGAAATAAGCATGTTATACTACTGCTAAGTAATCTTTTAAATTATAATAATTCATACTATTCTATCTAAGTCATCTGGCACATGGAATCAGGTGAGATATCTATATAGTGATCTTAACATATTCTGGTAGAAAGCAGGATACCGTGAATTACAGTAGCATATTTTTATCACAAAAGAACATAAAAGAAATACCCAAGCAATTAAAAATACAATCGCCAAAGTGATCTCACTCACAAAACACACATACAAACACACACGCTGTACTATATGATTCATGTCAAAATAAAACACTACTCTATCCTTGTAATCTAAGCTAAGAAGTCCAGGGTATATATTTAGGGTTTGTGTTACAAATAGAAGTTTTGCTGGGTAGAAACACAATCTCAGTGGGAAATCTGAATTACAACCACACGCTCCAGCACGAGTCCGAAAGCTTGGAAGACTAAATCTCTGGTCCCGGTGAACAAGTCAGATAGGATCCAGCTACAACCACATTCCTTTGCCTTTAAAGTATATATCTCCTACTGTATAGAACGTCTCAGTATCGTACTCCAGAGAAGCTAGCATAATAAAAGCCCTTGTAAACACTAGTATCTAAACGTCAAGTTAAAATTAAAATCATTCTGAAAACATGTACCCGAGGGCATGTATTACAGAGTCCCTGCCTCTGAATTTGCACCACTGATTTTAAAGGCCCACATTTTCAGTGATGTCTACAGCAAGGAAGTCTTCCATCCACACTTGAATCCTGAAAGTACATATTCTATGACATAAAATACATTCCTTTACTTTTCTGAAATACATATCCCATGAAGTTAAAAAGGAACGTGAGGCACAAGTTAAGAAAGCAAAAGAAAATAAGAACCCTAACATTCATGATCTTCAATACCAGCTTTTTATTTGTCTGATTAGTGGTGACTTCATCGAGCTATAAAATTCAGTTATAAAAATTAAGATGTAAGCATGGCAAGGTTTTTCAATTATGACTCATGTTTGGCCAACACCCAAAGAGTTTAAGCATGGCCTTTCTTAGGTCTTCCTAGACGAAATTACTGATAAAAAGTAATGCAGATTGTAAGCAAAGATGATTAAGGAGCTTATTTAGAAATATCCAGAGGTAAAAGGCCAGTTACAAAGTCTGTGCAAAGAATATTTCAATAAAGGGAATGTGTGAAAGATATGAAGAATTGAGCAATAAAGGAACTGCATAGATTGGAATACTTAGTAAATGGTATAAAAGAAGACAAGACTATTTTGGCAAAAATATCAAATTCTCCATTTCCCCAAAAGCACTAAAGTTATGGCAATAAGCCAGAATAAAGAGAAGATGCTCAGACATAAAATAGAAATACAAGACTATGCGAAGATGGATCTTTTTAAGAAATATATGCTAACAAGAAACTAAGTTTGACCAAGTGAAAGTATAGATAAAGATTCTAGGTACTCAGAGAGAATGATTATTGGATTTCATCCAGATTTTCCAAATGAAACCTCATCTCACTTCTACCGCATGTTAAAAGGTTTGAGTTTAGGTTTTGAAAAATGTGTAGAACTAATTATATTTTGTTCAACATAACATGACAGCAGAATAAGAAATGTACATGCTATATCATTGCTTAATATTAAGATAAAACTGAGGCAGGAGACTGACTCAATGAGATTTTTTTTATTTACAGGTTACTTAGCTATTTTCCCCCTAAAATAAAAACAATTTTAAGTACTATGATGATCTTCACAGAGCAGTAATATTCTATGTGTTTTAGAATACACAGGTGTATTTTAGAGTATTTTAAAGGAAGTAATCACTAGCTAAATCTCAATTACCTCACATTCCATCCGCAGTAGTGCACCAAGTAAAGGACTTCTCCACCTTCAATATCAGAATCTTTAACACTAGCTTCATACATTTTTTGACTTTTCCCTCGTCCATACCGCACTTGGACTTTCATGCCTGGTGGATAACACTCAAACTCTTCCTCTTCATTTTTGTCATCTTCCTCCTCCTCCTCCTCCTCATCTTCTTCCTCCTCCTCTTCTCCTTCTTCATCTTCATCTTCTTCCTTAATGGTGACATCGCTTGAAAGGTTTAAAAAATGTCAGTTAATAAAAATATTGAAAAAATGTTCAGTGCCAAATGGTGTATACTGATTAATATTGGGGATGCACAGAAAGTGAGGAATAGCAGGTTCCATATATATTTATATGTATAGATAGACAGAAAGATATAGCTATATACACACATCCGTATATATGTGTGTGTGTATGTATACATACATGTATATATGAAATCCTTTAAAGATGAGTGATTTCTAATTGAGTTGGCAACTGACAAGAAAATAGCAAACAATCAGAATAGTGACAAAAAGAGGTATTTTAAGGAAGATTTTAAAAGATGGTTTGGTTTAATGAAAATGTTTCATTACTATCTCTGGAAGCTAAAGATGTATGTTACAGTGCTACTGGGACAAATTATTCTTAGCTGAAGGTATGTTTCCCTCTCTCTTGAAATTGTATCAGTTTAGTGTGCTTTACATATGACTAGTCCTTAAGAGTATACCATATCTGTGATTTCTCTTTGTTAGGATGGCTCAATCAGTAACAGATTATTTAGAAAGCACATCTGATTATTTTATTCTATTTATTTATTTATTTGTGATTAATATCTTAGTTTAAAATCAGCACATTCAAAAATGCTTTGAACTAGTGGTTTTTCAAAGTTGAAGCAGTAACCTAAGCCTCAAGAGAGTTTATCAGAGTACTGTGAGGCTCAAAGAAAAAAAATGTTTCTAAATAATAGGAATATTATTGGGAGTTCCAAAATAATATAAACTTTAAAACTCAATACTAATTTATTTTGTTTTTAGACTTAGGAAATATTTCATTTAAGAAATATTTCCCTGTTAAATGCTGGGCAGGGGCTTTATTTTCTCTACTGAATTTCAGTTCTGGAAAGGAAAGAGCTCAAAATTAAGGATCCACATTTGATTGAGTAGATCAGAAATGAATACACTATATGGCAGTTAACTTTGCCTGTCACATTAGTTTACCCAGTACAGTTAGTCCTTGACTTACAACCATTCATTTAGTGACCATTCAAAGTTACAACAGTGCTGAAAAAAATTACATATACCCGGTCCTCACATTATGACCATTGTAACATCCCCAGAGTCACATGATCAAAATTTGGATGCTTGACAACTGGCATGTTTTCACAATGGTTGCAATGTGGTCCCCATTTATAACCTTTCCAGCCAGCTTCTGACAACCAAAGTCAATAGGGAAAAGCTGGATTTGCTTAATGTCTGCAGGATTCACTTAACTGCAGTGATTTGCTTAACAACCATGGCAAAAAAGATCATAAAATTGGGTGTGACTCACTTAATAACCACCTTGCTTAGCAACAGAAATTCTGGTGCCAATGGTACATCAAGGACTACCTGTATAAAAAATTAGCCTGCTTCTTAATCTGGGTAATAGTTATGAGAAGCAGAGAACAAAACTCTGGTTAGTTACTCCCACAGTTCACTCCTGTTCCATATTCTTTCTCTCTCTATTTTTTCCTCTGGTAATATATTTAACTCGTGGCATTAAAAACAATTATGTTTTAATAACTGAGCATTATGTTAAGGAAAATCTCAACCCACAGTAAGCATGGTTGAACAGATTACAATTACAATAGAAAAACTGCAGTAGAAATGATAAATCTAAACTGTAATTTTTAATTTGTCAAAAAAACCCTCATCTTTTAATTTAATGCAATTTAATAGCTCTCTCCCACCAGTTACGTTATAAAAGTTCATTTTAATACATATATCTTTCTTACTTAGTAATATAACCAGTCTCCCAAAAAAGATCAAACCGTACCTTAGTATTTTTAGTACTGTTGAAGACACTTTTAACAATACAGAAAGGGTTTGGGGATCACTCAAATAGCTTTTTCTTATTTAAAATGCTTTTTTCTCATACTACAGTATAGAAAAGTACAGCATTGCAAAATTGGTTTGCTTTACTTCAGAGTCAGGCTAAGGAGGAAGCATAAAAACTTCAAATATTATTAAAAAACTAAACAGAAAAATGCCACTGAGTGTACGGAACTCTTTAAGTGATTTGGAAATCATAAATACTCTTCTTAAAGAATATTAAAGAGCTCTAAAAATAGCAGATAGCATTTATCTCCCGTTCTCTTCTTCTCCTTTCTACTAATGTATATCCACCAGTATTTTAATTCTTATTTTAAAACATCTAAAGCTGATGAATGAGATTAATTTATAATTCTATCCTTTTGGCGTGACAATAGAATAGGATAAAATGAGAATGGCCAACTAGTGGAGTAGATTTGCAGTAAATTGGAAATAATGGATCAGATTTAGGTTACGACTAAATTTTACATTTTTAAACACTGCTCCTTATTTATCCATCAGCTCTTGGAAAAATTAGGAATATAACATAAACCTAAGCAATTGATGGAGCTGCTGTACTTAAAAGCCACTCCCACATTCTCACAAAATGCAGTTAACATAGAACCATGGGCTTGTATTTATGCCACTATTTATCCTCATACTTCCTTCGTTTTGTTCACCATGTTACCTTTGTGATAGCTTAATAAAAAAATACTGACCCAAGAGAGAATTTTATTTTTATTTTATTCTGGGCAGCTTGAGTACTTTTCTTGTGTTATGCCCAACTATTTAAAACAATCAATGATTAAAACGTTCCTAGCAATGGAAATAAAGGCAAATGGATGGGAAAGGAAACTACAAACGAATTGTTCTGTGGCTATCTTAAGAGCTCAGTTCTGTTAATGAAAGCAAATTCCCAGGCTGCAGTAGGTATTCAGTAGTACTCTTTAGCTTTATTTAAATGTTATGTGTGCCACATTAAGTTATAATGGAAATCTTTGGTTTTAAATGCTGGATCCAGAAGAAAAGCCAAACTAGAATCTGCAAGATATGTCTCCAGCCCTCTGTAGATAAATAAAAAATAATATAATATAATAAACATGACATGTTCTCATCTTTTTCTTGTTAAGGTTAATTTCTAAGATTCCTTGTTGCAAATAAAAGGTTGCAAAAATCATGGATTGTGAAAGCAATGCCAACAGTCCTTAAATTCTCACAGCAGGCAATATCATCTCCTGAGAATATATATCAATTTCTAATAAAGTTAAAGCACAGATCATTTTTTTAACTACTGTGTGATAAAGAGTGATTAGCAATTATAGATGGAAGATACAAAGATGTAACTAAAATCAAGAATGTTCAAGGCAAAGCTGGATGGTTAAGAATACATACATGTTATATGTTTTTCCATAGATTGCTATAATATGAGGACCAAAGCAACCTGTCCCCAAACTGAAAATCTTGAATTATAGGTAAGAAGCGAAGTATTGAACACCTTGAGATAGAAATCCTTAGAAGAAAAGTCCAGTATGGCTTTGGGGAAATTTACTTTGCCATGTTTGCATCCAAGTAAAAGCTCACTTTCTTATATTTCAACTTTGATAAACCTAATACAAGAAGGATTTGTGTAGGAGGTGATATCCACAACTCTTAAAACATGTTTCTTAAAACTGATGTGTAATTTTTATATATATAAGTAACAATGCAAAAATCATAGTCTTGGAAAGCAGTGAACCACAGGCTTAGAGCATTACAGCATCAGAATCAGAGTTCAGTGTAGCAATAAGATGGCAAAGTAAGATGAGAATGTAAGCAGTTCCCATATAGAAACCATTTGAAGCAAATAAGGTAAATAAATATATTAAGGAAAATAGGAGCTTTAATCTTCAGAATAGGAAAATGAAAGAATCCAGTAAGCAGCAACAAAAAGAACTATATTAGAACATCCTTTGGAAATGGAGACACATTTTTCTTGACCATAATTGTATAAGATTTGTATTAATGAAGTGTGCAAAGGAATTCCCACCAATTCTAGCAAGGATTCCTATAATAATAGTGTTTATTATTTTTATCTGCCATGCACTTGTATCTTAAAATAGTACAAGACCTACTTTCCCCCATAACAGACACCTTTTTTCTTGGTCTGAGAAAGTGTCACTAGCCACTCATAAACTTCTATGGCTGAGAGTGGACAGGAATTTGGGTCTCCCACCTATCATGCCAACATGTTAACTCTACGGTATTCGGAAAATGAAAAATATCAATTGCCACCAAATTCCTTCTAAGAATATGTCTGTCAGCAAAGTTCAACAGGAGCTCAGTTAGTCAATATTCCAACATTATAAAAATTTAACTACGTAGCTTGTCTCTTGTATGTGCAAGAATACACAGAGAGAAGCATTTAACTGTTCTGCAAATTAATGAGGTAAATCCAGTGAAATATCTGAATCTTTGATATTTTAGAAGATCACTAACTTTCTTGGCCATTTTAAAATGTATCCCATAAAGTTTCATCAGTTCATACAAAGTATAATGAACAGCAACATCTGGTAGAAGTCAATGTGATCCTATTAGCGTAACTCATCAGAAGATCATTGTGTGCTATGCTGTTCAGATACTCTTGTCACCAAATATAAAAAGTAAATTGAACATTTTCTCAAATAAAAACTAGCTTGCATTATAGAAATAAAGATTCTATTTGGTTTCAATAATTTGGTATTCATTATAGATATGCTGACTTTATACACTTTATATACAAAGTACAATAATCCCTACCCTTTTGCCTCCTTTACAAAATTGTCTTTGTCTTTAAATTCTGTCATGACATAATTCTCAAACCATAATTTTTTTTTTAAGAAATCATTTAATAAACCTATCTGCCAAAATATATTTTAACAAATACAGCATTATAATTTTATAAACTCAACAGCTAATTAGGCAGATTATACTGTTGTTAGCTGATCTTTCTTCTTCTGACTGCAAATATTACTTTGACTAAAAATCTACCATGAAATCCGTTTATAAAAATTTAAACAAAACAGTGACATATAATTCAAAACTTGACTCCATGTAAACATGAAGAACATTTTTCTAAGTGCAAAGTAAAGAGACTTTGCTTTAAATTTTTACAGTTCCTTTCTCCAAAGCTACGTGCAAACAGAAAATTATTTGTCAGTA